GACGGCATGGCTTTAATTCCCAATGATGCCAGCGGGATTTGTGGGTGTTCATCATCTGAGTAACGTTAACCAGATTTATGGATCCTGTTGACTAACTTCAGTTTCTTTTTTGGAAAAGGAGATCTGTTCCAGCCCCGTTTTTGAAACATGCTTTGAAGTTACTTATTTCAGTAACTTTGTATTGGTAAAGAGGGACAGGTAGGCCATTACTTCACTTCCTGTATGGTGACCAGGAAATGATGTCCAGGCTTAGCGGTTGCTTCTTTATTGATGCTTTTATTTACTGCATCACTTCTGGTGCTTACTTGATGAAGTCTAACAGAATTAGGGGGTGGAAATTTCCCTTTATTTGTTCAGCACTTATTAATGGAAGATTAGAGAAGGAAGTGACAGTACATAACCCTCCCTCCAGGCACCTGTGATCTGAGCATAGCTGCCAATGTTGGGTGAATCTGACTGTTAAGATTCATATATAATATCTGCCTTATTTCATTGCTGCAACAGGTCTCAGAAACTCACTTGGAAAATCTGTTTTGGTGTTTGTAACACTCACAAGCTGTTTTCCAAAAGACAGTTTGTGATTAGGGGGCTACTGATCAGTGCTTATAATGTGGGAGGATGGTATATTCCAATTTTTTCTTCACTTTTCTCCTGTTATTCAGTTTTCTTCCCTTTCCCCTGGTAGTAAGAAGTATGGATTCGGCAAACCCACCTCTGGCACCATGAAACTGGAGTGTAGCTCCTGATTAAACATGAGACCCAAACACTAACCCCCAGATCCAAATACTCACCCACCTTGAGGCAATACAGATCTGGATCTGAACTCCACAACGTAGACCAATAGAGTGAATTTCTGCGTGCTTGTTGACAAGAATAAAGATTCAATCCAGATCTTTTTTGGATGTTCAGTATGTTTTATGGCAGTGTAAGAGAGAACCAGATTTGTCCATTACTTGGGGGGAAATTATTTGCAGGAAGCCAAGTTTGAGGGCAAAAATTTCCAACAGAGAAAATACCACAAGAGGAGAGAAGATTTTTTTTTTATGGTTCACAGTTATTCGAAACTTCTCTGCTTGGGTCTTTTCTAAGGTGCATACAAAGCAAGAGAAAACAGCAGGAAACAGAATCCTCAACAGTAGCATGTCCAAGAAACAAAGAGAAGACCTTGATTCAGCTGTAAAAAATTGCCTAATGCACTGGACTTCTGTGGAAAGACTGATTTCTAAGTTCCAGAAACAGTCTAGGGATTAGCTCTCTGAAGACTAACACTTGCAGTACCTCAGCATTAGATAGTCTGTGAGAAAACTGTGTCACAGTAGGGGCAGCAATATTTTATAGTGAATATCCATGAGAGATTGGACTTTATAGAACAACAAAGCCCAGCAGTGTTATAAGGTTCAGGGTTGTAGCCTTTGAATCTAAACCCTCCTTAAGGTGTTTGCCCTCTGATGCCTTGCCCCTTGGGTGTGAAGGTGTGAAAGAAACAGTGGCTTAAGACTGGATTCAGTGCAGTCTCACAGAATTGTCATGAAAATTTACCAACCTGAACACAAACTCTACTCACCCCCTTTTCAAGATGATGCTAAAGATGGAAAACAAAAATTGTCAAGGTTGATGTAATGTGATATGTGGGTTATCCACAGTTGATTATTTGATTGCTTTAGAATGTCCACAGCCAATCAGACTAATTATTTAAGCAGCATAGTATATCCACTTGCTGCCGCTGCTTTTTCAGACTTGAACAAAGAATTTAAAAGTGATTTCTTGTTTTATTTGGGGGAGGGGGTTAAAGAAAAACAACCCCTAAAATACAGGCAATAAGGTAAATGTGTGAATGATCGAATTGAGCCCTCCGATAACCACGATCTCCAGCTTCTGTTCCCAGCCCTCCCAGTATACATGCCAGCTTCTGTGGCTCCTGTCTTTCACCCAGTATAATCTGCAACATTTCCAAGTTGACCTCTGACTGTATCAAAGGAAGGGAAAAAAGAAGAACCCAGAGGAGAATTGGAAATTGCATTTCTAAGACTTGAATTTTCACCTAATCACTGGGAATTTTCTTGGAGCACCAAGAGGCAAAGCCAAGCCACATGACAGTAATTCTGTTCAAATGCTTCTCCACCGCCAGCCATGAAGGTTTAGTCATAGTTTTCCTTTACTAGAGGTTTGCCTTCTAGCTGCAGTCCTGTACCCAGATATTCAGGTTTAATGGATTTGACCTGTTACTTTGTTCTGTCGCCCTGAAATTTTCCCCCAGCCTTTTTTGGACAGTGTCTAAGAACTTCCCGTGATGTGAAATCCATCTTTCAATGATTTGTGATTTGTGTATGACAATTAGTGTGTGTTCATTCTGCCATTAACTGCTTTGTAATTTGAAATTTTGATTGTTCCATAGGTACCCGTGAATCTAAATGTTGACTGGAAATGTATTTTTTCCCCTGGAACTATACACACCACCAATCATATCTTTTGAAAGTCCATTGATAACAATAAACTTTATCTATGACATTGCTACCACTGAACAGCATTGCTAAGGAATGAAAGAAACAGTACAAAATAGCATTTTTCTCCATCTAAGAGTGGTCACCAATTTATGTTTCCAGGTTTCTCAATAGTGAGAGACTGTCCACCATATGAATGTGAAAGCATCACCAGTACCACTGGTGTAAATAACATGCATTCTATAAGATGCTCTGTGGTGGGAAGCCTCTAGCAAAAGAAGTGATGCCAAGATACAACTAGATCCAATATTATAGGTTCACTAGAAATGTCTAGAAATCAGCACTGTAAAACCATCTCTGTTTTTAATATTTTCACCTAGTCATGGTAAGGTCAAGTACAAAAATCCAAGTGGGTTGGTTTGTTTTTTCCATTCTTTATAGCCACAAAAGCCTGTAATTATTAAGGCCATGTCTACACTAGCATTTATGTCCGCAAACTTTTGTCACTCAGAGATGTGAAAAAGCACACCCCTGAGCGACATACGTTTCGCTGGCATAAGTGGTAGAGTGTACTGTGCTGTCGGTGGGACAGCTTCTCCTGCCGACATAGCCACCGCTGCTCGTTGGGGGTAGTTTAATTATGTCAACAGGAGAGCTCTCTCCCGTGGGCATAGAGCGGCTACACGAGAGATCTTACAGCGGCGCAGATGCATCGGGACAGCTCTGCTGCTGTAAACTCCCTAGTGTAGACGTAGCCTTAGTGTGCACTGAGTTACCTTTTGAAGGAACATGAGTTACCATTTATGTTTCTTCATTAGTTTTGGCCAGTTTCAACCTTTGTGTTCTCAGTAAACGTAGATTTCAAAAATTGTTCCCTTAAAATTAAATCAGTGGGGGGAGGGGACGGGAAGTCCAGGTAGGGTATGTCTACACTACCCGCTGGATCAGCGGGCAGCGATCAAACCAGAGTGGATCGATTTATCGTGTCTAGTCTAGACGTGATAAATCGACCCCCAAGCGCTCTCCTGTCAACTCCTGTACTACAGTGCCGCGAGAGGTGCAGGCAGAGTTGACGGGGGAGCAGCAGCAGTCGACTCACCGCGGTGAAGACACCATGGTAAGTCGATCTAAGTACGTTGACTTCTGCTACATTATTCACGTAGCTGAAATTGCGTAACTTAGATCGATCCCCCGCCCCGTCCCCCCTCCATGTAGACCAGGGCTTAGATATGTCAGGTCAGATCTTCAGCTGATGTGAGTTGGAGTAGCGTCACTGAAGCTATCTCAGTTCACACCAGCTTAGGATCTGGCCCTTCATCCATAGGTCATTAAATTTGTCCCGCCCTCTGCCCTGAGAAGATATCTCCTCATCTGTGGTTTGAGGATCTAGGTGGAGAAAAGCAGTGATACTGTTGAGAAATCCCTGAGATGAAGCTACACAGGCAAAGAACATTTTCTCTGTGTTACAGTAACTAAATTTACTGAGAGGATGAAGGGAGAGGGAGAAGCTCAAATGAAGAACAGATTTGTGGAGTCTGCCACTACAAAGTGGTTAGCCGTCTGCCCAGAATCTATATGGCATGTGATTAGACTGGTTCCTAGTGAAA